CACCCCAACCCCTGCGGGGACCCCCAGTCAGGGTACTGTCTTCTGGACCCACTTTATCTTTGGGTCCCTGGGGCAAAATTGTTATGGGATTCCTTTTTAGGAGGACCACTGTTTACCTTAGCACTTCACCTCTCTGAAGGTCAGCTTCATCTGTTTAATGGGGGATGATAACAGTAACTATTTTATAGAGTGGTTATAGTGATTAAATAAGAGAAGTGCTTCACATTAGGGATTGGCACAGACTAAATGCTCAACAAATGTTAGTTGCTTTCATTATTGCTATCATTATCCTATTTTCCTACCAATATAATGGGTTGTTCTACAACTCACACGGTGATTATAACACATTCTTTTTTTGTTTTGTTTTTGTTTGTTTGTTTTTTTTTGGTTAATCCTCACCCAAGGATATTTTTTTCATTGATTTGCAGAGAAAGTGGAAGGGAGGGGTGGGGGAGAGGGAGAGAAAGAATCATCGATATGAGAGACACACATTAATTGGTTGCCTCCAGCATTTGCCCCAGCTGGGGCTGGGGATTGAACGTGCAACTCAATTATGTGCCCTTGACTGGGAATAGAACCCGAGACCCTTTGGTCCATGGGCTGACGCTCCAACCACTGAACCAAACCAGCCAGGGCATAAACACATTCTTTCAAGATTTATTGAGCATCTACTATGGGCCAGGCACTGTTTTAGGCACTTGGGATAGATGTTAGTGAATAAAACCAATAAATGTGTTCATCCTTAGAGAGCTTACGTTCTAATGGCAAAAGGCAGATGATAGATATAATAAGTAAATTATTATAGTAAACTAAAATTGTATATAAAACCCTGGCTGGGTGGCTCAGTTGGTTGGAGCATCCTCCAGTGCACCAGGTTGTGGGTTCGACCCCCAGCCAGGGGCGCATGAGAGGCAACCAACTAATGTTTCTCTCTCACATCAATGCCCCCCCCAAATAAATAAATAAAAACATATCCTCAGGTGAGGATTAAAAAAAATTGTATATAAATACTATAGGGAAATATGGGGAAGGAAAGGGAGGATTGAGGTTGCAATTTCAAGTGGGGTGGTCAGGTGAGGCCTCTTTGAGAGAGTAGTTAGATAGAAATGTATAATGTCTTGTCAGCAGTGAAAAGAGCTAATTTAGGGTCCTAAGGCCTGTTAGCACAAATGATCTCACGAGGCTGAAGCTGAGGAAGATGGAATGACTCCCAATCACCCAGATCTGCCTAAGGTCAGGTCCAGAGTGCAGAACTTTCTGGCCTTGGCTCTTGCTGTTCTTTGTGTTCCTAACCCTGGCTCCTTCCAAGCAGGTGAGCAGTGAGGAGAAGCTGCAGATGCAAGAGTGTTTGTGGTCTGGTGAGTAGGGCCTGCAGGAGGCTGGGGCAGGGCATCGCAATAGGTGTGAATTCTGGAAGTGCCAGCTCCTGGGGGTGAAGGTCAGGCATGAGGGGGCACATGGCAGTGCCCTGCAAGATTGGGTCTCAGAGTGGACTCTCAACCCTTTCAGACTCCCTGGGTCCCCTCAAGGATGATGTGCTGCTGGTGGAGACACGAGGCTCCCAGGACAACAGATCACTCTGCGCCTTGGAACCCAGTGGCTGCACCCCACTGCTCAGCAGAGCCTCCACGGTGAGGGCTGGGGGACCCTCCTCTATGTACCTCTCGAGCTCCATCTTAAACTTGACCTCAAATTTTCCCTCTATTCAATTTCCCCCCTATTCAATTTCCCCCTCCTCTGTGCCAGGCTCTGTGCTGGTCTCTGGAAACATGGGGGTGATTTAGACCTGGGCCCTGTTCTCAGTAGCCTCTCAGAAATCTCCCAGCTCCCAGTGCCACCCCCTCATTCTGCCCAGCTGCAGCCTGGTGGTCTCCTAGGTATGGTGGCCCTAGGTGACAGCTCTCTACTCCTTGGCTTGGCAGAGAGCAGCTCGCCTTGGAGAACAGTTACTACAAGACCTGCAGTCAGGCCAGTGTCTGCAGGTGAGTAGATGGCAGGAAAGCCCTGCCCCAATGCCCATGGGCAACAGCCCTAACACTCTACTTTTGGCCTCTTCCACCCCTTCCTGTTCCTAGCAAAGGGCACCAGGGAGACTCTCCCTCTTCCCAAGCAGAGGTCTCCTCACTGCCCTAACACCCACCTACCATCTATTTGTGCTTTTTTGGTCCAGTCCTAGGGAAGCTAAGAATTGAAGAAGCATAGTTCTCACTGCTGGCTAAAACCCCATAAAGAGATAACATTCACCTGTGCTATGCACTGGTTTCCAGGGAGAACTTCAAAGAATGGTCTCTTCATGTGAGCCAGATCTGGCATGGAGGAAGGCACAATCCAAGCAGTAGGCACAGCATAAGCAAAGGCAGAGCAGCTTTGGGGAACCTGCTGTGTGTATTTGGAAATATGCATAGTTGAGGATGGGAATTTGGAGATCAGGCTGGCGAGAACTTGGTGAGTGCTAAACAATAGCTGAGGGCTCTGGACTTGGTTTTGTTTGTGTCTTACAGCTGTGGGATGATGACCTGGGAGCACTATGGGCCTGCCCCATGGACAAGTGTGAGTATTTCAAGAACTGCCTTTTCCTCTTCACAGCTCTCCAGGAGCTGGAGGGATCTTGACAGGGACCAATCCTGAGGGCAGCACATGCAATGGCCTTGTCCTTCCCTGGCTCAGATAAATCAGAGGGTCATTCCTTCATTCATTCAGAAACCACAATGAGAGCTTGCAGGGCATCCGAGCATCACCAAGACACAGTCTCTGACCCCACCCCAGCAATAGATGGTTAGAAAGGCATTAGCCCAAAATCACTTACATTTGGTAGGTGTGAGCTTTTGAAGCACTCTCTATAAAGTAAGTGTCCAAAGCCATGAATACATATAACGGGGACTTGACCTTGGTGGGGTGAGGAGTTTAGGTGAAAGTTTCGAGTTGAATTGTAATCTAGGTGAAGGAGGTAGAGATGCATTTTTGTGAAGACTGGGGTGCTTTTTTGAGGAGCTCTAAGGTGGTCAGTGTGGCTGGAATGTCTTGGGAGGCAGGCTCCTGTCATGAGATGCTCTGCCTTTGCTTATGCTGTGCCTACTGCTTGGCTTGTGCCTTTCTGCATGCCAGATCTGGCTCACATGAAGAGACCATTCCTCGAAGTTCTCCGTGGAAACCAGTGCTTAGCATATGTGAATATTATCTGTTTATGGGGTTTTAGCCATGTAGGGCCTTGGGAGCCAATGTAAGGAATTTGGGATTTACTTGAAGAGAAGCAGGAGCTTTCCAAAAGGCTATAATCAGATTATTTAAAAAGATCTCTGGGGCTGCCATGTGGTGAATGAATTGGAGACAAAAAAAATAGGTCAGGGATATCAGTTAGAAGACTGTTGCAGTCATCTGAGAGAGTGAAGTCAAGGACCCGGCTACCCTAGGCTTAGGGAACAAAAATATTGCTGACTTTTGAGCACTTACTATGGCCCTGCATTGTTAAGTGCTTTATGTGTAACATATGTAGTTCTCACAACAACCCTATCAGTAGGTACTATTGTTATCCCAATTTTACAGAGGTGAAAAACTGAGGCAGAAAGTGAAGTCACTTATCCAAGGTCACCCAAGTAGATGGATCTATGTTCATAAACTGGCTCTGACACTATGTGTTGTAGACTTTGGGCAAGTCATTTCTCTGAGCTTCAGTTTTTCTCCATCGTGAAGGGGCCTCTCCCACCATGAAATGGAGTGAGAGTGTAAGGTTTCTAATTAGCCCATCTCCTCCCCTGGGTCTCCCAGATATTCATCAACGCTGGGCCCTGGTGTGGCTGGCCTGCCTTCTTTTTGTTGCTGTGCTTTTCCTTCTCCTCCTCCTCAAAAAGGATCATGTGAAAGGTGAGTCATTTCCGGCTCCCCATTCCCCAGGGGCAGGATTGGAGCGGGCCTGGGAGTTGGAAGAAAGGAAGCAGGGGCTGAGCTCACCCTCTGCCTCCACCCCTCTTCCCTAACAGGGTGGCTGAGATTCCTGAAGGAGGATGTCCGCTTGGGGGGTGAGTGTGAGCAAGCGCGGGGCAGGGGGCCGCCCCCAGCGGGCCGGGCCTCAGGCCATCTCACATCTTCGCTTCCCCTCTGTTCTCTCCGGCAGGGGCCGCCAGGGGCCGCGCGGCTCTGCTCCTCTACTCGGCTGACGACGCGGGCTTCGAGCGCCTAGTAGGCACCCTGGCGTCGGCGCTGTGCCAGCTGCCGCTGCGCGTGGTCGTGGACCTATGGAGTCGTCGTGAACTGAGCGCGCAGGGGTCCCTGGCCTGGTTCCACGCACAGCGGCTCCAGACCCTTCAGGAGGGCGGCATGGTGGTCTTGCTCTTCTCGCCCGGAGCCGTGGCACTATGCCATGAGTGGCTGCAGGACGGGATGTCGGCGCCGGGGGCGCACCGCCCGCACGACGCCTTCTCTGCCTCGCTCAGCTGCGTGCTGCCCGACTTTTTGCAGGGCCGGGCTTCCGGCCGCTACATCGGGGCCTACTTCGACAGTCTGCTCTGCCCGGATGCTGTGCCCACCCTGTTCCGCGCCGTGCCTGTGCTCGCTCTGCCCTCCCAGATGCCTGACTTTCTGCGGACTCTGCAAGGGCCCGGCGCCACCCGCCCTGGGTGGCTCAGGGATAGGGTGGAGCAAGTGTCCCGGGCCCTTCAGCCCGCACTGGACAGCTGCCTTCGGCCCCCGGGGACCCAAGAGACCGGATTCGAGATGCGACCTGAGGCAGGGGACAGAACTTGAATAAAGGCAGCTGCTATTTTTCTATCTACGTCTCATGTGTGTCTCTGACAAAGTGGCTAGCCTGGCACGCTGCCCACCGCCCGAGTCCCCAAGGCCCTTTAACAACTGGACAGGTGCAGCCCGGTGCTGCCTCTGGTTGGCTGGTGCTGGATGACGTAATGGCACATGGCTTGCCACCATTGGCTACGGCTGGGGCTCCGCCCTCAGGCCTGCGGAGCTGGCGGAGGTTGCACGTCTTACGCTGGCGGCAGCGGAGGGGGCGCTGAGGAGACTGAGCTGTCTGCGCCAGCAGCGGGCTGGGTGCGTCGCCTCTTAACTCCCCCACAATCTACACGGATCTGGATCCTCCCTAGCCGGCTTGTGGGCCGTGCCTTTGCCGCCTGCGAGCCCTGACCCTGACCCCTTCTCTTCATATCCGGATCTGGGCTCCTCCACACAAGATCGTTCATCCGGCTTCTCCCTTAATACTTGGAATCTGACCCATTCCACTGATCTGCCCGTAATAACCCATATTCAGACCCTAAAACAATGGGCTGACTCCTGCCTCCTTTCCAAGTGTGCAGCCTACCTCCCCAACGGTAACGAGGATAACTTATTCCCCCTCATTTCCTCCACCATACTTTCTCCGGCCATATCCCAGTCCAGCCTCCTTTTTTTTTTTTTTTTTTTTTTCCATATATAACAGATCTGGGCTTCCAGACCCGTGGCATCTCAGCACACCCTACCATGCCCTCCATCTATAGACCCCCGGCCTGGGAAAAGATAGCCCTGCGACATTCAAGGGGCCTGGTCCCAGCTCTGCTCTGGGGCCTGAGCCTCTTCTTCAGCCTCCCAGGCCCAGTTTGGCTCCAGCCCTCTCCGCCTCCCCAGTCTTCGCCCCCAACTGAGCCCCATCCGTGTCATACATGTCGGGGACTGGTGGACAGCTTCAACAAGGTGGGTGCACCAGCAGCCTGGTGGGAGGGTCCCAGCTACTATAGCAAGTGGTTGAGAGTGGGGAGATCTGGAATGCAAGTCTGTATGGATTAAAGTCCCTACTTACTAGTTGTATGGCCTTGAGCAGGTTGCCTCTTTGTGCCTGTTTCCTGGTCAGTGAAATAGTGAAGTACTAGAACACACCAGGCACTGTACTTCTGTATGTAGGTATTACTAATTTTCTCCATTTCCAGGGCCTGGAGAGAACTATCCGGGACAACTTTGGAGGTGGGAATACTGCCTGGGAGGAAGAGAAGTTGTCCAAATACAAAGACAGGTAAGGGTCTAGAAAGCTGGGTTTGTATAGCTCACCTCCCAATCTCTGCTCTACTAAAGGGGACCTAGAGCCTCTTGGGAATGCTTACTCGTTCAACAAATATCACTGAATATGTATAGTACAGAAGTGAACAAGGCAAACAAAATCCCATCTTTAAGTAGCTTACATTCTTGTAGAGGAGATAGGCAATGAATAAAGAAATAAATAATGTCATATCAGGTGAATAACAGCAAAGCAGGGTGGACTACAGAATGGTGAGAGGCATGGCGTTCAGGGTGTGACATTTGAACAGAGACCTGAAGTGAAGAAGCAAGCTATGAGACAAACAGGGGAGAAGAAGTACACAGAGTGAGACTGAGCTTGGCATATTTGAAAAGTGGCTGGAATGGAGTGGTAGAAGGTGAAGGCAGAGGTCCAGGCCTAGAAGACCACAGAAAGGATTTCATTCTGAGTGAAGAAAGAAGCCACTGGGAGGTTTTGAACAGAGAAGTGATGTGGTCTTATTTCTGCCTTTAAAAGATTACTCACAGGGCTGTGTAGCAAACAGACTATAGGGAGCCAGGGTAGAGGAAGCAGGGAGACTAGCTGAGAAGCTAATGAATAGTTTAGGCATGAAAGTAGCATGAGTTAGTATGCTATCTAATGTTGAACATGGTGAGAAGGGGTCAAATTCTGAGTATATTTTGCAGATAGATTGATAGGACTTGATGATGGATTCGTTAGGCTGTATGAGAAAATAAGAATAAAATATGCTTGCTAGGTTTGGAGTCCAAGAAACTGGGTGAATTGTGGGGCTGTTTTCTAAGATGGGTAAAACTGGGGAAGGAGAATGTTCAGGGGTGAGGTGGAATCAGATGTTCTCTTCGAACATGTTGGGTTGAGATGTCCACTAAACAGACAAATTGAGTTAGATTTAGGACAAGGTGAGATTATATTGAGAAGAAAGATCTGAGCCCTAGGTCCTCCAGCTTTTCAAAGTCAAATTGAGGAGGAGTCAGCCAAAACTTGGAGTTAAACAGACCTGGTTGTCAGTTCTGACCCTTGGTACCCTAGGGAAGGTCTCTTAATCTCTCCAAGCCTCAGTTTCCTAATCTGTAAAATGGGGATATTAATGCCTGTTTTGCCTATTTCATATAATTGTGGTAAGGATTAAAGTGTGATGCCCATTAGAAATAAAAGGTTTTATTATATAACATCGGTCATTTTCCTTTTCCTCAATAGGCCTCAGTTTCTTTATTTGGGAATGAGGGAATTGGCCAAGATAACCCTCAGGGCACTTCTAGTTCTATAATGGCTCCCATTTTTGTTTTGTTTTGTTTTGTTTTTTTTTAATCACCTCCTCCTATATGCCAGGCATTGTGTCAGACTCTTTGAGTACATAATACATTATATGTGCTCACACACACACATATTTAATTTTTTTATTGAGGTAGAATGCACAACACATAACATTTGCCCTTAGAGACATTTCGTACATTCACAGTGTTATGCAAGCATTGCTACTAGTTCCAGAACATTTTAATCATCCCAAAAAGAAACTCCATATCCTTTAGTCACTCCTCATTCTCCTCTCCCCTCAACCCTTGACAACCACTAATTTGCTTTCTGTCTCAATGGATTTGCTAATTCTGTTGGAATCCTATAATATGTAGCTTTTTATATCTGATTTCTTTCACTTATACTGTTTTCAAGGTTCATCCATATTGTAGCATATATCAGTATTTCATTCCTTTTTAGGCTTAATAATATTCTGTTGTATGGATATACCACATTTTGTTTATCCACTCATCATTTGATGAACATTTGCATTGTTTCTACCTTTTGGCTATTGTGAATATTATTGCTATAAACATTTGTTTACAAGTTTTTATTTGAACACCTGTTTTCCATTCTTTTGGGTGTAAACCCAGGAGTGCAGTTACTGAGTCCTATGGTGATTCCATGTTTAACTTATCAAGGAACTGTCAAACTGTTTACCACAATGTCTGCACATTTTTCATTCTCACCTGTAATGTAGGAGGGTTCTAATTTCTCCACATTCTCACTAACACTTGTTTTGGTTTTTTTTATCCTCATCCAAGGACATTTTTCCATTTTTTTTGTTCAGATAGAGTGGGAGGGAGAGAGAGAGAGAAACATCGACGTGAAAGGGACACATCGAGTGGTTGCCACCCACACCACCCAACCAGGGCCGGGGACAAACTGCAACTGAGGTACGTGCCCTTAGTGGGAACTGAACCTGGGTCTCTCTGGACCACAGGCCGATGCTCTAACTGCTGAGCAAAACCAGCTAGGGCAACACTTGTTATATTATATGTTTTTAATTACATCTACCCAGCAAGGGTATATATTTCATTGTGCAGATGCAGGAATTGAGGTATCATACAACAAACCTGTAGGGGAGGTGTCCCCATTTTACAGATGAGAAAACAGGTTCAAGACAAGTTGACTTGCCCAAGGTCACACAACTAGATTCGAACCCAGGTCTTTCTGACTCTCAAAACCACTATCCCTTCTATTATACCCTATGTCCTTTCTTTTGATATTGTCATGGCATGAGGAGCGGTGGAGAGGAGGCCTGAAGGAGGGTGGTGGGTGTAGTGAAATGTCTTTCCACCACCCTCTCCTGTCTGGCCAGTGAGACCCGCCTGGTAGAGGTGCTTGAGAACGTGTGCAGCAAGTCGGACTTTCAGTGCCACCGCCTGCTGGAGCTGAGTGAGGAGCTAGTGGAGAGCTGGTGGTTTCACAAGTGAGTGGTGTGGGGGCTTTCCTGGGGAGGGGCCACAGGCAGGGCCTGGTAGTAAAGCAAGGGGTTGCGGGCTAGGGGCTGTGTCCTTGTTTGGCTTCTTCCAAACCCAGATCTGCTAAGGACTTGTTTTGGGACCTAAGCTCTCACTGTGAGCTTCAGTTTACCCCTTTGACAAATGAGGAAAGGGTGTTGGTCAGGTGGCCTTAAGGGCCCTAGGCCCAAGATGGGTTGTATCACAGATTCTGTGGTATGTTGGGAGTGGGGTGGGCAGCATCTCTGACACTGTCTAAAGCCCCCTCCATGTCACACCACCTCCCCATCTCAGGCAGCAGGAAGCCCCAGATCTCTTCCAGTGGCTCTGCTTAGATTCCCTGAAGCTCTGTTGCCCCTCAGGCACCTTCGGGCCCTCCTGCCTTCGTGAGTTATTCAAGTTTCTCTTGAGGGATGGGACGGGACTGCTGAGGCTAGGACTCTAGTCCCAGCTCTGCCCCAAGCTGGCTGTGTGAGCTTAGACTGCTCAGATAACTTCTCTGGACCTTAGTTCTTACCTGCCTTGCAGAGTTGGCGAGATGAGCAAATCAATGGGAATGGCTCTGAAAAAAGATATGCAGTCAGACTGAGTCAGATGCTGCTAGTTTCATCCTGTATTTGAGAAATGCTTCCACCCCCATCCCTCATTTCCAGTGCCTGGATCAGACCATGCCCCATCTCTTGGACTAAGGGGAATTTCACTTTCCTAGGGTTGGCAGGTACTGTCCTGAAGCCTCCATTGTCACCACCTTTTTCTACACACAGTTCTGAGTCAGGAGCTAAACTAACTACCATCCTCTTTTAGAAAAATCTCTCCAGAAGCTGCACATAAAGAGTTAGTGACAAGGATGGTCAGTCAGTCTTTATAAAAGAAAAGATTTGTAAATAATTGTTACACAGTAGGGTAGTGGTTAAATAAATTATATACAGTTTTATGATAAAATATTATGTTGCCATTAAAATTAAGTTTTCTCTCCAAAAATGTTAATGTTTTCTATATACAAGATTGCTTTTACAATCTCACCTGGTTTGGTGTCTGCTCACAGCCTGTCCTGGGGGCACAGAGAAGCCCTGCGGTGGCTACGGGCATTGTGAAGGGGAAGGGACTCGAGGGGGCAGCGGGCACTGTGACTGCCAAGCCGGCTATGGGGGTGAGGCCTGTGGCCAATGCAGCCTCGGCTACTTTGAGGCAGAACGCAACGCCAGTCATCTGGTATGTTCGGGTAGGTAGCCAAAAGGTGAGGTGCTGGGCAGGGGCTAATGGGGTGCCTGCCTGCTCAGTCTCATACTTCCGCCATTCCACCCAGCTTGTTTTGGCCCCTGTGCCCGCTGCTCGGGACCCGAGGAATCAAACTGTTTACAATGCAAGAAAGGTTGGGCCCTGCATCACCTCAAGTGTGTAGGTGAGTGGGGCTGTGCCCTAGGACTGGGGAGGTGGGCAGGGGCCTGGGCTTGGTTTTCCATTAATACCCACATCTCTGGGCTGGACCAACACAGTTCCCATATTTATGGAGATCTCAGCCTGGTTGGGAAAGCAGAAAAGTAACCAGGCACTTACAGTACAGACTGATCTTTGTATGGTGAGAGATGTCCCTGATCCAGTTTGGTGGTGGTAAGGAATCAGGAAAGGCTTCTTAGAGGAAGTGTCATTTAGACCAAGTCTCAAAATTGAGAAAGGGTTAGCCCAAGGAATGAGGATACTGAACTTGGGTCTGGAAACCTGGGTTTGAGACTTGGTTTGATCTCAAATCCAGCCATTTATATAGGTGAGAGTAATGACTAAGCTGCTGTACGAAGAAGATCCCCAAAGATTGTGGCTTAAAGAATATAGAGGTTTGCCCAGCCAGTGTGGCTCAGTGGAATGAGTGTTGTCCCATGGACTGAGAGTGTTGTACCGGTTCAATTCCTGGTTGGGGCACACGCCGGTTTGTGGGCTTGATCACCCGTAGGGGGTGTGAAGGAGGAGGCCAATGATGTTTCTCTCTCACTGATGTTTCTATCTCTCCCTTCCCCTCTCTCTCTCAAAATAAAATCATTAAAAACATACTAAAAAAAGGAATATAGAGGTTTATTTTTATCTTATGTCAATCTCAAAGCAAGTGGTCCAAGCTGGCAGGGAAGCTCTACTTGTCACAATCATTCAAGGACCCAGATTCTTTCTTTCTTATTGTGCAGTCATCCTACTGGGTGTTGTCTTTGTGATTAAGGCTAGTTCACGGGCACTTCTGTATTCCATGATCTGGCACTCAGGAAGTAAGAAAGAGAAAAAAAATGCATGGATAAGTCCAAGCCTGATGCTTCAAAGCCAAGCTAAAAGTGGAGCACATTACTTCTGTTTACGTCCTGCTGGCCAGAACTCAACCACAGAGCCATACTGAACTGCAAGGCAGAGTGGAAAATGTAGTCTCTGCCTCGGCAGCCTGGATTCCAGCTGCACCTTTACTTCTGTGCTGGTGGACAGGCTGCAGTTGCTGCCACACCATATGAGCCTGGCAAGTCCATTCCCCAACAATTCTGGCCTCTGCTTCCCTATTAGTGAACTAGGGATTGAAATTGCCCACCTTGCCGGCTTCTCTGTAGATATCGACGAGTGTGGCACAGAGCGAGCCAACTGTGGAGCTGATCAATTCTGTGTGAACACGGAGGGCTCCTATGAGTGCCGAGGTGAGTGTCCCACTCCTGCAGAGGAGGGGATGTGGGAAGGGTAGGAGGAGATGCTCAATGCCTGTTTCCCCGAAACATCTGCCTTCTCAGGCACCAGAATCCCCTTGGGCCTAAGGGCAGCTCTTAAACTTCTCTCTCCTCTCTCTTCTCCAGATTGTGCCAAGGCCTGCCTTGGCTGCATGGGGGCAGGGCCAGGCCGCTGTAAGAAGTGTAGCCCTGGCTACCAGCAGGTGGGCTCCAAGTGTCTCGGTGAGTCTCTTGCCATTGGGGCACCTTGGAGTGCCTTGCCACCATGAATTGAGAGGGGCTGAAATATGGGCAGGGCAGGGGAAGGATGGAATGTTACCCGGGCAAGGGCATAAGGGAATGTCAGGATGTGAGCAAGACGGAGTCAGGGGTGGTACATATGGGACCCTGGCCATCAGGGCTCTGATCCCTCTTTGCCCCTCCTTAAGATGTGGACGAGTGTGAGACAAAGCTGTGTCCCGGAGAAAACGAGCAATGTGAGAACACCGAGGGCAGTTACCGTTGTGTCTGTGCCGAGGGCTACAAACAAACTGAGGGCATCTGTGTGAAGGAGCAGATCCCAGGTGAGCCCCAACTTGGCCCTCAGCAAACCCATTCTCCAGGCACTTACAGGCTCTGTCCCCCACCCCTCACCCCTCAGCCCCCATGAGGCTGCACTGAGACTGAAAGCCTACATCTGATCTTGAGTGGTTTTTTGGTCGCCTCACACCTCCCTGGGGTAGAAAGAAAATCAGACTTGGCATCAAATTACTCTGCTCCCCTAGCCTCTTTTCTTATCTGTCTAGTGGGACCAGCCCCAGCCCTGACCTGCTGAGAGCTATTGTGGGCTATTGTGGTGAGATGGACAGTAACAATGATGACAATAGTGATCACTTCCACAGCTCTTACCATGTGTCAGACACTGTTCCAAGCATGTTGCATATATTAACTTACTTTGCCCCTAAAACAAATCTAATGCTGTAGGTATCTTTCTCATCCCCATTTTACATAGTGGAAACTAGGATGCAGAGAAATTAAGCAACTTGCCCAGGGCCACATGGCAAGCAGGTTGCAGAGCTGGGAGTCAAGTCCAGGCAGTTTGGCTCTGAAGCTGGCTAGTACACATAATACATGCTCTGTCGCAACTGGCTCACCACTTGGCCTTGGGCAAATCTCTTCACCTCTCTGAGCCTCAGTGTCCCATTTAGTGAGACAGGGATAATAACTGCCCCTCTGAGTTGTTCTCAGCAGTAAATGACATTGTGCTGGCATGCCCCGCAGGCATGTGGCAACGATGATTGGGTGTGTGGGAGACTCCAGCAATGGGGGAAGAGTGACAGGTGCTTCTCTTATTCCTCGCAGAGTCAGCAGGCTTTTTCTCAGAGATGACAGAGGATGAGCTGGTGGTGCTGCAGCAGATGTTCTTTGGTGTTATCATCTGTGCTCTAGCCACACTGGCCGCCAAGGGTGACTTGGTCTTTACCGCTATCTTCATTGGGGCTGTGGCAGCCATGACTGGCTACTGGTTGTCAGAGCGCAGTGACCGTGTGCTGGAAGGCTTCATCAAGGGCAGATAATCTCTGCCACACCTGCAGGATCTCTTCCCACCAGGCTGCCCCCAGAAGTCAGGCCTCTCTCCTGGACACTCAAGGCAACTTACTTTATTTCTGAGAGTGGGATAAGTACCCCCTACCCACCTGTGGAGCAGCCTAGGCACACAGGCCAGGGCAAGTGAGGCTCCTATGATGAGGAAGTAGCCCTAAAGGTGGATGCCATAGGATCTTGGCCTTGGGGGGCACTGAGCAGGCTTTACAATGTGTGGATTTTTTAAAATGTCTCTTTATGGTGGCTGCTAGTGAGCTTTGGCCCCTGTCCAGGAGGGGGGGGTCCCCGCAGGATTGGGCCCTTCATAGCCTCTTCCTGCCAGCTGCATGTTGCCAGCTCCTGTTCCGTCTCCACATCCCGACCCCTCAGCCACTGATTTATTTATTCATCTCAGGAAATAAAGAAAGGTCTTGGAAAATGGAGAAGCTTCGATCTTACTGCTGCCCGCCGCCCATAGGTTGACCTGAGCTACTGAGAGCCCCCTAACTGTTGGGGAATTTTTCTAAAACCTTGGGAAATTGAGGGCTACCATGGTGGAGGAACAGAGGGAGGCAAGGCTTGGCCCTTAAGTTGTGTTAGGAGAAGGGGATGGAGGATCCAGCCTTAGGGATGGAACTTTCTGGGTTCAGTATCAGCTATTATTTGGGCCAAAGGACCCTGGACAAATGATTTTCATCTCTCAACCTCACTCTTCTCATTTATAAAATGGGCATGATAATGCTTTCCACTTAGGCTTATAAGAATTAAATAAAGTGATGAATGTGAAGAGCTGAAGATAGTGTACAACAAACAGATGTTCAACAATAAAATGTTGATAGCCTTATTTCTAAAGCTGCTAAGGGTCTAGTACCCTTTCCTTTGGAAGTCCCCCTGTCCCCAAACACATTCTGGACTTGGAATTACTGGGGGAGGGGGGGCTCCTACCTCTCCTCTGAACAGGATCCTGGCATGGCCAGAGGGAGGCATGAGCCAAGTCCTAAGGGTTTATTTCTTTGGCACAAAGAGGACAGTCAATTTAGACAAGCGAGCCTCATCTCCCCACAATGGGGAGTCTGGAGGGGTGTTTGGGGCACCTGGACCCCATTTCCCATACCTAAATCCATGCATGTCCACCCTGTATTCCGCGTAAGTCCCGGCCTCTGTGCAAAATACCTGCTGGAACAAAAACAGAGATATATAAAACAAAAAAACGGGTGGGGAGTGGGTTCACTCCTGGCTGTCTCTGCGTCTGCAATCAGGTTCAGGCCTCGGGATACCAATTTTTCAAGTGCTCAACTGTTCCAGTCAGCCATGCCATATGCTCACCAAGGGCTGGGCCTTGCAGCAGCATGGGGGCAGCTCAGAGCTCAATGGTGTCACTGGAGGCGCTGCGGGAGTCCCCGCGCTTGCAGCAAGGCTGGACCTCACTAGGGGGTTCCCCAGGTCGGGTGGGAGCAGGAACAGGAGCAGGGACTGGGGCAGGCAGTAGTTGCACCGTGCTGGGTAGCTCATCTAGAGGCAGACTGTCCACCGACGACAGCCCATGGCGCCACGGGTTCCAGCTGATCTTGAGCGAGCCCCGGGAAAAGCTGTCCATGGAGCTGCCTGAAGCCACCTGATCAGGCTCGTCCACTGTGTGTGGTGGGACTGATCCGCGCACGCGCACGTCGCTGAGTGACCGGCAGCGGCCACGAAGGAGCGAAGAGCCCGCGCCATCGAGCTCAGCGTCGGGGTGGCTGCCCCGGCGCGGCCGCAGCGCGCCTCCAGATGGGGAAGAGGCCAGGCCGCGCAGGCCGCAGCGCCGGAACACGCTGTCTCGTACCAAGTGTTCTCGGAAGAGCGCGGCGTCGATGCTGCGGCTCAGGTTGATGGGCGAAGGCGGCCGCAGGTCCAGCTCACTCATCGATGGTGCTGGTCCCACGCTGCTACGAGAGAGTCCCGGGCCACTCTGGGGACCGCGGCCCAGCGACGCAGCCGAGCCCCAGGCGCCTGAACTGGGCGTGGCAGGCGGCCCCCCCTCCGCGGAGTTGCGGATGAGGCTTTTGCTGATGTCCAAGCTGCCTGCGCCGACGCCACTGGGCCCCGCATAGCAGTTGTTGGGTCGGTCGGGCACCTCGCTTTTGCCCGAGGGCGCGGGACACGCCAGGCGCAGCAGCTTAGCCCAGCACGCATGCTCCGTGGGCGGCCTAGGCCGCGCGGCAACCACAGCAGCTACCGCCAAGGTGAGTGCCCACGTCAGCTCCAGCAGGCGCAGCCAGAAGTGGACTCCCCACCAGGCCCACGAGAAGTGGCCCACGCGGCCTGGGCCTGGATAGAGCCAGAGGGAGGCCGCCAGCTGTAAGCCGCTGGCCAGAAACCCCAGCGCTCCCGCCACTGCCAGCAGCCGCGGGCCCGGGCTGGCATCCCAACCCCGCGGCCCATCCAGCAGGCGGCGACGGCACAGGCAAAGCGTGCCCAGAGCCACGACTGCACCCCAGGCACACGAGATGCCCTGAGCCAGGAGGTTGAGCGTGGGCCTCGACGACATCAGGTCTGTAGCGAGTAACCCCACGCCGTGCACCAACGCCACTACTCCCAGCAGAAGCGGGTTCTGCAGCTGCTGTGGCAGCCCGGCACCCAGGCCGAGTAGGGTCAGGGCCGCCAGCGCAGTGAGCAGCAAGGGGAAGGGTAGGTTGTAGAGCACCAGGCCGGCGCGCAAACCCAGTCGCGCCTGCGAGCCGTAGGGGTCCGCAAGCATGTAGGCAGATCGGAAGCCCGATGCTAGGAGTACCAGCACCGCCGCCACCAGTGCCAGCCAGGACCCCGCAGGGGCGGCTGCCAGAGACACCATTGCCAGCAACGCCGGCAGAAAAAAGAGCACCCCCACCCCATAGACGTGCAGCTCCCAGGAAAAGCTCAGCACCCGCCGAAGGGGACCCCAGCGCAGAGGGGGTGCGGTGGCGTTGGCCGGGGGGCTAGAGGCTGGGGCGGATGCCATGGAGCTGGCTGAGGGCTCCGGAGGGAGTGGCTGACCCAATGCGCGCTGTGTGGTGACCCGAATGAGTCCCCGGCGTGACGTCGAGGGGGCCTGGACTGGGGGTGCTGGGGGATGACTTTGGGGGCGCCCGGGCCACTCCTCAGCTTCATCTGCAATAATAACAATATTAAAATATCCCTTTGTAAAGTGTTTTTGATTTTCCATTATTCCCCAATGTGGTGGGCAAGTTATTTAACTTTTCCAAGCACATCTGTAAAATGGGGATGGTAGCAGCACCTACCTCACTGGATTGTGGTGAGGACTGAATATTTAGCATAATGCTCAGCACCCAATAAGTGTTAAATGGATGTGAGCTATCATTTTTATTAATAATATAACAGCAATTCTCAACATGGGCTGCATATTAAAATCACCTGGAGACCAACTGTATCAGAATTCCTTGGGAATTTTTAAAAAGCTCCTTGGGTGATTTGCCAGAGTTGGAAAATCACTGCACTAAATACATCCACATTACATTTAAGAACATTCTAGCCCCAAAGGGTCAAATGACTTCTCCCAGAGTGCCAGTGAATATTAGTTTATTATCCCAAGTTGTTTGAAGGAAGTCCTAGCCAATTCCTTTAAGGAGGTGTCTGTCCTCATTTACTCCCCAGCCTCCCATATGGACCTCACATAGGTTCTTAGTTATTAAACAGAGTACCCACTCTCCCCAAATTCCCAGCCATGCCCTCACCTGGCTGCAGGGCCCTCACAGGGCTCTCTGTTTGGGCTGTAGCTGGGCCAGGGTCCGAGGGGTCAGGGATGAGGGACTTGGGGGTACCTGGGGCCTCCACTGCTCCTCTCACCCGCTGGGGAGAGACAGGGTCTGCTCCATTCATTACTGCTATCTCTGAAATGACAAAAACAGTCATTAGTTTGCCTGACCCTCCAGCAGTCCCCAAAGTCTAATCCCCCCAGAAGGGAAGCACAATCACTCTCATTTCCAGAGTGAGGAAAATGGGACCCAGAGGGACCAGAAGGTACACAGAAACAAGCATCCAGCTGCCATGGAACACTGCTCCTCCCAGCCCTTCTTGGCATCCTCATGTTGGTACCCACCTGGCTTGGGCTGCCCATCAGGAGTCTCTGATGCTGGAGGACCTGGTGAGCCCTGAACATCAGGGAAGTCAGCCTGCTTTGGTGAGGGACTTGGAAAACTGACTTCCCAGATCTCCCCACCTCCAGCTTTCTTGGGAGGCTCAGCTGGAAGTTCCTCAGCAGGAGGAAGGCTTCTGGCCAAGGCCAGGTCTGGCTGGGACCCATGCTCCTGAGTGGATATCTCCTCAACTGGGGATACTGAGCCAACCTCAGAGGCTGCTGGATCTTTCTGGGTGAAGAGGGAACCTTGAGCTGCCTCCTGAAAGTCTTCCTCACCCCCACCCTGTTCTTCCAGCACTGGCCTCCTGATGGTGCCTGAATGGGGTACAAGAGTGTGGAGAGGAACCTGGTGGGCTGAGGGGGATGTTTCTGTGACCCTGGGCTTGGCTTCAGCAACCAGATCCTCATCTCCAAGTGGTTGCTGTCCCATTTGAGCACCAGGCTCCCCTGAGGAGGGAGGAACTGTGGCTACCCTGAGTTGGATTCTGGGAGTTGTGGGGATGAAAGTGAGATGGGGGGACCCCACTGGATGGGGTGGTGGTACATCTTGCTCCAGAGGCTCCTGTGAGTCAGGAGGTCCTGTCCAGCCCTGAGAACTTGGCCCTTGAGCCACCTGGAAGTCATCGGCTACTGGGAGTCCTTCTCTTTCAGCCCCTTGGGCTGCTTTAGGTCCATGCAGGGCTGGGCCAAGGGGAGACTCTTCAGTCCTCTGAGGCACCTCCTCAGCAGGGACCTGGGGGACACTGGAGTTCCAAGGGTTCTCATCTCTGGACTTCTCCCAGAGGAAGTTGAGGCCTTCGGGCTCTGTGCCAACAGGACCCTTGGGGTGGGCTCCTGGAATCAGGTGTGGTTCCAAGTCCTCTTGTGGCCTGGGAAGGCCCATGGCAGGGCCAGTCCCCAGGGATGGCAGTAGCAATAGCAGCAGGAGGCCACATGGGCTGGGGGCCATGGTCCACTCTGATGCCTGGGCCTAGAACCCTCAACTTCCAGTCCTCACTGGATGAGCCTAAAAAAAGATGAAGGGGAATGACATGTGAGGGTTAGGGGCTCCTGTGGCTACCCCAAGGGGCTGGTGGAAAAGAATGAAAAGTGACATGAGACAGATCCCCCTCCCCACCCCACCTCTTTTTCCCCTTCCTGGTCAATCTCTTCATGCTGCCCAGAGTGACCTTTTATTACTGCATTTCTGGTCATGCCACTTGCCTGCTTCAAAGCCTTCCACCTCATCACCCTCGGGAGAGAATTAAGACCCTTTTCTGGCCTTCCAAGGCTGCACCAGGCTGCTCACCTATCCTTCAACACCTATTGGACTGCCTAATGCCCCATGCCTTTGCTCCCACCACTTCCTCTGCCTGGAATGCCCTCCTCCTTCTTCACTTGCTGAAATCCTATCTTGAAGTCCCAGCTCAAATATCAGAAAGATGGAGAGGAATAGGGCCCCCTGCCTGGGTTTGAATCCCAGCTTTTCCTGTTCCTGGGTGAGTTACTTTACCTCTTTGCATCAGGGTTTTCCCATCAGTCAAATAGGTATAAAAAGAGTACCTAACTCTAAAGGGCTCTTATAAGACTTACACAACAAACACATAATGGGTTGGGTCTATGATAGGAGCATACGTATTAGAACCCCTTTACTTTTCCCTTTGTCCAGAAAGCTTTCTTTTCCACCAGCTATTTCAATAAATAACTGGAGCATATACTATGTGCCAGGCCCTGAGGATAAAGCAGTGAACTGGATTGGCGAGATTCCTGCCCTCATAGTGCTGGCATTCTAGGTAAGGGACAATGAGTGATGCTAAATAAGATGAACTATGGAGAAAATAAAACAGGATTAAGAGATAGAGGGATGGGGGCTATTTTACACAGGGGGTGCCAAGAAAGCCTCTCTGAGATGACATTTAAGCTAAATGAGAGGAAAGAGCCAGCTATCCAACAATATGGGAGAAAAGCATTTGGCATAGGGAACAGAAAGTGCAAAGGCCCTGATGAAGGAATGAGCTAGGTGAGTCCAAGAAATAAGGAGGCTAGTGTGGCTGGAGCTCAGCAAATGAAGGAGAAAGTGGCAGAGGGAGATGAAGTCAGGAAGGTGGGGCTGCTAGATCACAACAGGACTGGTAAACCGTGGTAAGGCACCTGGATTTTATTTAAAATATCATAGGAAGCCAATGGAGATGTTAAGCATGGGAGTTTCATGATCTGATAAATGTTCTAAAAGAGGGAGACAGGTCAGCATAAAAAGCCAGGTAAGACATGACAGTGGCTTGTTTCAGCATAGATGTTTCTTTCCCTGACACCCCCCTCCACCCCTTTCCATCATCCTGGTCACATAGTGTAGTAATCTGTCTCCCACATTGGCCCAGGGCTTCTCAAGGGCTGCATCTGCATCTTCCATTTCTTGTCTCCAGCCCCCCAGCACATGAGTGGCCCCAGTTATATATTCTCTAAAGGTTCCTCTACCTGAGAGTCCCTAGCTGAGCCAGGTAGGCAGGAAGGACCCCACAGCCAGAAAATGGGAAGACAGCCTAGGTGTGGGTGTGTTTAGGAGTAGAGGCCATGCCCCTTTCTTCTGGGAAACAGCTGTCCCCAAATCTCCGTGGCTCCTTGAGAAGCCAATGAAAATTCCAAGCTCTCTCCCCAGGAAAATGCCCAGGCTCACCAAAAGTTGTAGACAATTTCAGGGGGTTCAAAGACCCCTTAAACCCATCCACCAAAATGAGTTTAGACTCTTCCTTAAATCCTTGTTCATTTCTCAAGACATTCACCAAGCCCCATGCTCTGCTCCTGGCTAGGTGCTGGGGACCTAAAAAGAAACCTCAGGTCCAGTGTCAGGAGTGGAGGTGAGCTGAGGGGGAGTGACTGACAGGCCCCTAACACAGGTATCTTAATAACAGTACTGTTGTGTTGAGCTCTTACCCAGTTAGGTTCCTGTGCTAAGCTTAGCTGCATGTCCTCTATCTCATCCAGTCCTCCCAACACAAGCAGGTATGGGTATTCCCATTTCACAGAGGAAGAAACTGAGGTGCAGAGAGGTTGAGCAACTCACTCAAGGTCACACAGTCATACTAGGGGTTGTGAAACCCGCTGTGTCTCATTTTACAGAGGGTCTGAAAAGCTTTGCAGACTGCTGAGTTGGGCCTTCAATGAATGATAAGCTTATGCCATCTGCTCACCACCCCCAATCCAAGAGATGTGGGCATCTTTGGACAAGGAGGGGGCTGTCCAGCACTGGATTCCAGCAGCTGGAGAGATTTTTGGGGGGAGGGGGTATCTCCCAGTCTCAGGGAACTGGGGAGAGGCCAGCCTGAGGGCAGCGCTGGGCAGCCTCCGGGAGCTGTCCATCTCAGGTTACCTCTTTTCCTCCTTCTCTTCTCCCCTGGCTCCGCGCCTTCCCGCAGTGTCCCAGGTAGGGGTGGGCTCTGGTGCAGGCCCTGCTGCTCGCGCCTGAGACGGGGGCTGCAGGCCATGCTCCCTGCCTGCTCCCCGCCATTGCCCACTCCCTCTGCCAGCTCCTCACCTGGGCGACGCGCAGGCAGCCCCCGCGTTCACCTTGCGCGTGTCCCAGCAGCCGCTCGCAGCACCGCATCCTCGGAGATGCTCAGACTTGGCTAACAGAGCCCGGCGCTGCCGATCGCCGAGCCCGCCCACAGGAACGCCATCCTCACTTAACCCTTTCCCCTTAGGGGTGGATTTTTCTCCTAGTCCGGACCTCCCCATTCTCCGAGATTCTCAGGTACGGAGAGAGTACCGAGGTCACCTCCGGGGGATGTGGAAATTCCTTCTATAGCACCGCTCAAAATGAGGCAGCCGATCTCTATTTGCATACCTCAGGGAACGTAGAGCTCACTTCTTTTATGCTCTATACTTATATCCGTATAGGGATACATGCTAACCTATAGGTAGATCCTACCTACAGCTTGATGTGTATCCTTCAGATCTTTTCCAGTGTACACACACGCGCGCACGCGCGCGCGCACACACACAGAGATTTTAAATAGAAATGAGATCATACTGTACATATCGTTCTGTACCTTGCCTTTTCCCCTTCACTTTGCAATATATCCTGGCACATTTTCCATGTAAATTTTTAAAGATCCATTTCATTTCTTGTATCTGCTGTTGAGAATTACAGCATATAGTCAGCCTGTAATTTTTATTTATACAATCCCTGAGGTTGGACATGTAGTTGTTTCTGGCCTTTTGCTAGCAAGAATAGTGAGGCAGGGACCAATTCTTGCATAGATATCTTTATGCACATGTACTAGTGTACCTATCAGATAATTTCCTACCTGAGGCATGGTTAGATTTATGGGTTTGCACATTTTTGGTTCTGATAAACATTGTCAAAATGCTCGTGTTCCCTCTTTGGACAGTTCCTGATATACCAACATTAGGTTTGGACAGTTCCTGATATATCCAACATTAGGTTCATTACATTAAGAGAAATCCACACAAGCCCTAGCCGATTTGGCTCAGCGGTTGGAGCATCAGCGTGCAGAACAGAGAGTCCCGGGTTCAGTTCCTGCTAGGGGCACGTACCAAAAAAGAAAAAAAAAAAGAGAAATCCACACAAGAAATATATGTGATCATTGAATATGATATAGACTCTTTAATGGCATGGAGAAGTTTCCAGGATAGATTGTTGTTTAATTATTAAACTTCAGTCATTTAAATTATAAAAATAATATATCCTGATGATCCCAATTCAAGCAACACAGAAATGTTCAAAGAACATGTTGACTGTCTTACTTTGGCTTCTCCAACTCTGACCCCCCAAATGTACCCACTGTTAACATCATGTCTTTTTTATTATTATTATAAAAACATATGTGTATGCATTTCTTTTTACAAGAATGGAATTATACCATACATATTATTCTGTAGCTTTGCTTGCCTCAAGCAATACATGTAGAAGCATTTTGAAGTTCCACCCTTTACTTTCTTTTTATCCTTATCCGAGGACATTTTTCCATTTTTTACTCAGATAGAGTGGGAAGGAGAGAGAGGAAGAGAGAGAAACATCGATGTGAAAGGGACACATCGAGTGGCCGCCACCCACACGACCCAACCAGGGCCAGGGACAAACTGCAGCCAAGGTACATGCCCTTAGCAGGAACTGAACCCGGGTCTCTGTGGACCACAGGCTGACGCTCTAACTGCTGAGCCAAACCGGCCAGGGCCCACCCTTTACTTTCAACCAGCTGCACAGTATTGCATGATGTATATGTACTATCATTTACCCAGACACTCCCACTATTCTCCTATTAATGGGAAATCAGGTGGTTTACAAGTTTTTTATACTAGAAACAATACTGCAATAAACAAACTTACATACCAATACATACATCTTTGAATGCTGATACTCTAAATTCTATCAGATAATTATTTGTATGATCCATTTTTGTTAATATCTGTCTGTCAGTATATCTTATCCCTAAATATTTGAAAGTAAATAGGGATTGATATGATTTTTATCTTAATTTTGCTTTTCTGTTTACCAACATTCTATACAACCAGGTATTTCTTTTTTTTTTTTTTTTTTCTCAATGTTTTTATTGATTTTAGAGAGGAGGAAGGGAGAGGGAGAGAGAGAATAAATCATCAGTGAGAGAGAAACATCCATCGGCTGCCTCCTGCATGCCCCCCACCAGTGATCAAGCCGGCAACTGGGAATCGAACTGGCAACCTCTCCGTGCATGCGACAGTGCCCAACTAAGCCACACTGGCTAAGGCACAACCATGTATTTCTTTTGTGATCAGAGATAAGAATGACAAATGTCACTTAAAAAAAAAGAAAGACAATTTTACCTTGGCTGGCATGGCTCAGTGGTTCGAGTTTCCCTCACCACACCAAAGGGTCTTGGGTTCAATTTCCTGTCAAGGGCACATACCTGGGTTGCAGGTTCGATCCCTGAGTGTGGGAGGCAACCAATCAATTTGTCTCTCTTACACCAA